TATGAATGTAAAATATGTGGTAAAGCCTTCAGTTGTTCCAGTTATGTTCAAGTGCATGAAAGAACTCACACTGGAGAGAAACCTTATGAATGTAAGGAATGTGGAAAAGCCTTCATTTATCGCACAACCTTTCGAGGACATATGAGAGTGCACACTGGAGAGAAACCATATAAGTGTAAAGAATGTGGGAAAGCCTTCAGTCGACCCAGTTCATTTAGAAGCCATGAAAGAATTCACACTGGAGAGAAGCTTCTTGAATGTAAGCATTGTGGGAAAGCCTTCAATTGGCCCACATCCTTACATAAACATGTCATGAGAATGCACACTGGATAGATAACTTATAACTGATAAATACAGGAAAGTTTTCAATCTTAACAAATAGATTCAAAATCATGTGGAAACTCCACTGGAGTGAAATGCTCTTAGATGTAAGTAATAGGGGAAAGCCTGGTGCAAATTAATTCACATATAATACTGCAGAGAATTCACATGAAAGAAATGCTTCAAAAGTTAAAAATATATTTTCTTTATTATGGCTCATTCTGAAACTCAGTCTCTGGACTATGGATTCTCCTTGTTACTTTTACAGATGAACGTTGAGATGATTCTGTAGGTACTCTTTCAGCAATAGTATATAAGCTTCGTAGGTAGTGTTTTTTCTTAAATCAGCTTATAAAATTTTTGTCTTTTTGTTTTATAGTCTGTTGGATCCATGGGTGAGTTGAAATGTAAGTGTAATATGCCAATAGAATTAATGTTTATATAATTTTTAAATTGTTCTGCAAGTTAAGGAATAATGTTGGTATTTGTTGGGATTTACCTCATCTGTCAGGTACTAGATACTCCTTACCCATTATAAGTATTCTTCCTTTCTTACGAGAAACACTTTTTCTCACAAGAGCTTTCTTTCATTTTCTTTGATTAATAAATTGTTGGCATAAATTTGTAAGTATGCAAAATTTATCGTAGAGTATAATCTCACTTGAATTACTATTTACATCTTTTCCTTTTACTCTGTCATTCTTTCTGACTGTGATTTGGATAATAGACTTTACATAAAGAAAAGAGATCTGTATTGACATCAACCTCAAACTTATGAAGCAACCTTAAAATGTTCACAAGTGTAATTATTTTAGATTTAAATTCATAGCTACAGTATCTTTGCACCAAAGCGACATTTTTTCCCCCATCAATGTATTAAAACCCTGCCACATTACTCTGATGTCACCATTAGGAGTATCTTTTCCCCATAATACAATTAGAATGATTGTGTGATGCCACTAAAGTCAACTAGTGACATTATATTCCCTCCATTCATATTGGGCACCTGCTCTGTGCCTGTGCTGGACACCGGAAATAACAGCAGTGAGTGTAAGCCATGTGGTCGCTGCTCTCACAGTGCTTCAAGTCTGTGAGATAAAATAGAGTCGTCATGTTTCTAGCTATTTTCCTAAGTGTTTATATTTGAAGTCACATTCATTTTTTCATTGACATTATATGTGATAGACCAATAAACTTTTATATTTGCAAAGAAAGAAAAGAAACATGTAACAAGACATTAAGATGTAGAATTGGAGGTGGCCCTCCTGGAATGTTTGTCAGCATGGGTAATGTGACCTACATTTTCTGTTCTTTTTATGGTTCCATGTTAGAATTCACCAGTAGCCTCGCTCGCAAGAGATTTGATAGGCCAGAGTGAAGTCCGCTTTAGTTTTTGAACCACAGTACAGAGAGAGACAGATGCATAGAAGTTTCACATACCTCCTTTCAGCCCATTTTCCAGATTCTTTGCCCTGCCAGTCAAGAGTCTCAATACCACCACCACCTACGTGACTTCTGTCTTCTCAGAGCTGTAGGTTTCCACAGATGACTTCCACAAGTTCCACAGCAAGATCTGACACAGTTTGGATTTTCCTGTAAGCCCTCATTTGTCCAGCAGGCAAGAAATTTAGACTGTCATGGTTGAGAATGTTCTCTGAAGCTCTGCTCCCCCCCCTTCTCTAGATTGTGGTTGTATAAGCTCTGATTTGTATAGTAAACACCTTGTTCTGTTAGTACTGTAGTGACTGTGTTCCTGACTCTGCCCAGACAGCTACAGTGATGCAGTCAAAGGAACCACCTGGGAGTTTGTTCCTCTGCTGCTCTGTTCAGTGATTGCTCTGACCCAGTCCTTCCATGTGAGAATTAGCACCTTTCTCATATCAGGCATATTGTGGGTGTTTCCAGTTACTCACAGCTGAACATAATTCCTCAGCACATTTTCAATTGTTTGATTGTATGTGATGTAAAGCAATGTTCTTTTTTTTGTCAAACAAAGGCTTTTGTAGATGTTTACTTAGAAATGTTTTATTAACTGTTTCAAACAACTTGTATACCATCAAATATTATTATTTTTTCCATTTCCTGATAGGATGTATTAAAACATCCCATTGCAATTGTGGATATTTAGATCAACTTGCTGATTTTGTCAAGGTAATCATTATACATTTCAAATCTATATTACCATGTGGTATTTTTTACTCAGGCAAATTTTATTTTTTGCTCTTCTATATAATTTTTATCATGAAACTAGTTTCTCATTTGTTGTTAATTAAAAACTTAAATCATGGTTTTGTAAGTGCCTTCTTGCCAGAAACTACTGGGATCACATCTATATTCAAAGAGGAGTGTAATGAACTGTTGTAATAGGGATGACCACAGACCATAAGGATAACGGGCTGTATGAGTGAGAGGGTGCTCAGAAGTCCACTTTATATGCTTTGGGCTTGTGTTAGGTGCTGGGACTGGCATTCAAGAAAGCAAAACATTTCTCTGTATTGGATACTGTCTGGAGGTGAACTTAATTCTATCCTTGGTAATCATAATAGTTCTTATCTAAACACTGAAATGTTTCCTGTGGTATATGGGACATTGTTTTCCTTAAAGTTCCTCAGTTAATATATATAAAGTCACTTGCTCCGTAGCAAATTTTGTAATACTTTTATTATCTCCTTTTTGAATCACCTGAGACCTGTGAGTTTATTGTCAGAACACGAACCTAGCAAGGGACAAAGACAGGGCCTTGCTCAGAAACTATGCTCTTGATGCTAATTTTTCCACATTCCTCTTCTTCCAGGCCCTGTAGACTCAAAACATACATAATTTAGCACAAATAATCAAACATACCTAATTTAGCACAAATAATCAAGGCACTGTACGCTCTGGATATTGAGGCATGAAACAAACAAGTTCTTGCAATCTTGCTGCTTATATTTTTGTGGGAAAGGAGAAATGATTAATAGATGGCACAATTTTGGTTTATAGGATGGAAAAAAGGGCTTTGAAGGAAAGTAAACAATGTCATGCGGTAATAGACTGGAAGTGTGTTTCTGTCTTCTCTGTGGAGGGTTGGGGCCTCAGTGAGTGAGGATGTCATCAATGATCATTTTTATTTTCACTGTCTGATACACTCAGACACTGAGGAACTGCTTGGGTGCAGGTGTAAATGGTGGGGAGCAATACAGACAGTCCAGCATTCCTAGGATTAACCGTAATGGCTTCCCATGAAGATAAAGGTATAGACATGGTTCATCTTCATTTTTGCTATGGTTGAAAGTTTTGTTGCATGTGATAGTGATCGTGAGTTCGAATGGGTCTTCTGAGACTTGAGAGCTCCCGTTTTCCTTGCTTTATGGTGTTCAACATTATTTGGAAAGATTTTAAATTGCCTTTTACATTTCCGTGAGCATTTTGCTGCTACACAGACTGAGTGACACAGTATGTACCCCATGAAACCATGGAGTTCCTTCACATTTGAGGAAGGGTTCTGGTCATCTGCACTGTTGTAGCCCATCATGGTTTTCCTATGAGTAGAGTGAGGTCTCTGGAAGTCCAATGTGACTTCCTGGATGAAACACCAAAAAGAGCTGCGGGTGTTTAGAGGGTAATGATCCAAGGGATAATTGAAGGGAGCTGTAGACAGAGAGTATCTCGAGTAGTATCCTAGTTAGTGGAAAAGAAGGTATGTTGGACTTCCTCAAAATAGGAAGTTTTTAATGCCTTTTATAAAAGGAGAACTGGAAGGTTTTTGTTTCAATGGTCCACAAAGTTACAAAGCCCATTTTGCTGTTCACAAGTATCATGTCCATATTCTTAGACTTCCGGCACATTATGAAAGGGGTGGGGGAGATTACCAGCTTTGTGTTTTATTAAATTTTATTTATTTATTTTTCCCCCAAAGCCCCAGTAGATAGTTGTATGTCATAGCTGCACATCCTTCTAGTTGCTGCATGTGGGACATGGCGTCAGCATGGCCAGAGAAGCGGTGCGTCGGTGCGCACCCGGGATCCGAACCCGGGCCGCCAGCAGCGGAGCGTGCGCACTTAACCACTAAGCCACGGGGCCGGCCCTGTGTTTTATTAAAGAGCAAAGGAAATTTAAACTTCCTGCTTTTTTTCAGTTCTAACTTATGTTTCTTTGCATGGTATAGATTACACAATTTCATAATTATTAGTTTCTCAGTTGCCGCACCCCTCCCCCAATCATTCCTCCCATCTTACAAATGAAAGTTAAGCATAGGGAGAACAGGGTCTTACTGAACTCCTATACCTCATAATGGAATCTCAGTTTTAAAGGCCTAATGTGTGCCACCACCTTTGCTGGGCACTGTCAAAACTTTTCTACTGAGAAGAACACTGCGAAGTTTGTATGATTGTGCATTTTTACAAATATGGCATCAAAGCTTACAAACAGGGCTTTTGTGGCAACATGGTGTTCTGTTTATATTATTCTGGAAAAGGCAGAAGCAAACATAGGGACCTAAAACAGATCAGTGGTTAAGGGTGGACAGGATGAGTACAAATAGGCACCACAAGAGTGTTCCTTTGGGGTGACGAAGTGTTCTCCATCTTTTGGTGGTAGTATGCATTTGTGAAAACTCATAACTACACCTAAAACAGTATGTCTGTGGGCCAGCCCCAGTGGCCTAGTGGTTAAGTTTGGTGCACTCCGCTTCAGCGGCCCAGGTTTGGTTTCTGGGCATGGACTACACCACTTGTTAGTGGCCATGCTGTGAAGGCAGTTCACATACAAAAAGAGGAAGATGGGCAACAGATGTTAGCTCAGGGCGAATCTTCCTTAGCAAAGTGAGAAAGATTGGCACAGATGTCAGCTCAGGGTGAATCTTCCTTAGCAAAAAGAGGAAGATGGGCAACAGATGTTAGCTCAGGGCAAATCTTCCTTGGCAAAAATAAATAAATTAATTAAATAGTGTATGTATAT